AAAAAACCAAACTTGTTTTTACGGTTCTGGGAATCAAGTCTGACATGGGCCTCATGGGTTAGAAACCAAGGTGTGGGCAGGGCCAGTTCCTTCTGGAAGCCCTGGAGGGGGGACCACCTGCCTGCCTTTTGCAGCTTCCAGAGGCGCCCATGTGGACTCGTGGCCCCTCCTCCACCTTTAACCCCTGCAGCTTGGCACCTTCTGCCTCCTTCCACCTCCTTCCAGGTGTTACACTGGGCCCACCTGCCTACCCAGGACACTCCCCGTCTGGGTATCACCAATCACAGGCACAGCCCCTTTAGTCCTATAAAGTAGCCACCACGGGGACCGAGGCTGAGGATGGGCCATCTGTGGGGACCTTGTTCTGCGCCCCCCCCACAGTAAGAAAAGAGCTCTCTGGGAGGCCCACCCTCAGCAGGTGCTCACCTGGCCCCACCCCCCGGGAGCCACACGGGCCTCCTGTGCCCGCAGCCCTGCGGCCATCGCCCCTACCCTGCGTGGCACAGCTTCAACTCAGCACCAGGATCCTGGTCCGATGTCGTTTATTCAGGTTCGTAACTCCGTAATCACAGAACCGTGTCCTGACAGGCCCTGCATCTCCCACTGCCGCTGTCCCCAGCAACCCCGTGGCTCGGTGTTAGGGCCAGCCGCGGCCATCTGAGCCACAGCCCGCAGGGACCGGGCCCATGCCGCAGGCCTACTCCCCTGCCCAGGGGCTCCGTGAACGGGTGGCCGTCCCAGGCACACGTCGCAGCCAACCAGCGCTCCTCCCTACGCCCGCAGTGCTCTGTGGGCCAGGGCAGGCAGTTCCGGAGGAGCGGGGGGCCCCGGGAGGGAGGATACAGCGTGGGGGGTAGTGGTGGAGGAAGCAGGAGAGCATGAGACAAACCCACGCGGGCTAAAGCCGACCCTGCTTTTATTTCACGAGAGCTTCTCGATGGCCGCCAGGAGCTCAGGTTTCAGAATAGACGAGTCCGGTTCGGCCCCGGCGGCCCTGATGTCTGCTAGCACGGCTGCGTCCCACGAGAAGGTCAGGAGGGCCGAGGGCACCTGCGGTGGGGCGAGGAGCCTCAGCCCCACTCCGGCCTTTACGTGATGGAGACTTCACGCCCGTCCCCTGGTGCTGGAACCGGGGCCACCCTCGCCCCGGGCAGCTCCCCGCCAGTGAGCGCACCCACCACTATCGGCCCATTCCCGCGGGCTGGGGTGTTCGCCGGTGTCCCTCCAGTCTGCCCGAGGGAGGGTCTGACCACCCCTCCCCAGCCCCAGTGAGGCCCTCCTCTCCCATCCACCTGCCTTGGTTCTGCTCCTCAGAGAACTCTAACACACGTGCCGTGTTCCCACTCTCTAGGTGGGAAACCGAGGCAGAGACACGGCACTTGGGGGCATGCCGCACGTACATAGGAAGGTGGGACTTGAACCCAGGGCCCCGGCCGCCCTCTCGGGGAGTTTGTGCCGGGCAGGGAAACCCAGAGACGCTTCCCCGCCACCCCCGGCCCCAGGCAGGGAGCCCGTCACTCACCAGCCCGCACTCGTTGAAGGCCAGGCTCTCGTCCTCCGACAACCTCTGCCCCCCCGAGGCCAGCAGGTCGAAAGGCAGCCAGTCGCTCTGCAAGGCCTCCCGGACGAACGCGTACAGGGCAGCCACCCGCTCCCGGGCGTAGAAGGTCCCTGGGTGGGCGGGACAGTCAGTGGGGCTGCGGTCCACAGGAGCACCCCCGGGGAGCACCCCAGGGCCCACCCCCCCTCCCGCCACAGCGCCGGCCCCGCGGGCACCCACCCTGGAGGAGGCAGCCGTCGGGGAGGCGGACGCGCAGCAGCGTGTACGTGTACTTGCGCATCTCTCTCTGCTCCTCCCGCTCCCGCATGGCCTTCGTCCGCAGCACGCTCAGCCGCTCCACGGCCTCGGACCTGAGCTTCTGTTCCCGCTTGATCTCCTCCGCCGTGAGGTTGAAGAAGTCCCCGGGCAGGTCAAACTGGGAGGCCATGGGCGAGGGCCGGAAGACCCGGCGCTGGCGGGCCAAGGTGGCCCGCACGGGCTCAGCGACCAGCAGCTGCTCCCTGTGCCTCTGCAAGCTCTGCGGCTGGGCCAGGGCGGCCTCGCTCAGCACGTAGAACTCCTCGGGGCCCTCTGGAGCGCGCACAAGGGTCACTCTGCTGCCGCGGGGAGAGCCCCCCACCCTGCTGCCCTCCTCCCAGCACAGCCAAGACCCTGCTCTACCTCCCTTACCCTGATCAGGAACCGGAAGCAGCGCCTTCTGGAAACCAATGGCCTCGAAAAACTCATGGGTCCCTTCCAGGCAGTTAATGCGCTCCTGAGGGAGTGGGGCCAGAGGTCACACGAGGCCCTGGGGTCTCTGGGAGGCCACTAGCCTCGCTGACCACCCTGCCCGGCTCGGAGTCCCCTGGTGTTAGAGCAACTGCTAACGAGGTGAACCCGCTGAAGCCGTCCCCAGAGCGGAGCATGCTCGCCCCAACACAGGCTGCAGGGCGTCCAGCAGCGGCCCGCGGAGGTCACCAAGCAGGCGAGGGAGGCGGCTGAACTGCCAAAGGACAACGGGAGGGTCCAGAGGTAGGGGAGACCGGCTGCGTGTGGTGCTGGGGGCAGGAAGGGGGCAGGCGGCGGCCACGGCCACCAGGGGACAGCAGGCGCCCTGTGAGCGGCACAGGGAACACGGGCCATGGTGGCGGGACCCTGAGGTTTCTCCACAGAAACCCCAAGTCTGCGTTTATGGGAGAAATCGCACCAGTGCCGACGGCTTCCCGAAGCATTCAGGTTAAAGTCAAAACCCGCTGGGGGTGGTGCGCAGAGCAGACAGAATCCACGTTACGCACCACCTGTGTTCACAAAGCCCCCGGTCCCTGTCGGCCGCCAGCCCCGGAAGAGCCCTCCAGCTGCCTGACTGTGGCCCCCACGGGCCGGGGCGCCGTGCGTGCATGTGCGTGTGTGCGTGCACAGGGCCCGGCCACGCTGGCCGCCCGGGGCAGCCTCACCTGGAACACTCTGTTCTGCAGCTTGATCTTCCTGTACTTCTCCTCCTCGGGGTGCAGGCAGATGTTGTCCAGGTACCTGGGGTGGAACAGGGAGCAGCAGCTGAAGGGTCCCACCTGGCCTTGTGGTGACAGTGACCCCAGAGGGGCACCATCGCACCTTGGCCGCCCCACGAAGCCCACCCCCTGGTGCTGACAGCCCCCACTGCTGCCCCTGACCCAGCCCACTGGGGGACCGACCCTGGGCCTCCTCCTTGGTCCTGCCTCCCCTGAGGGCACCAACACACACAGCAGTGGGGTGCAGCAGACAGACCCAGAATGGACCACTAAAGCCTCTGGGTCCCCAGCAGCTCGTGAGCTGCATGGACTTCCTGGCATCCTTCCTCCCCCAGGCCTGTTCGAACAGAGGAGGGGAGTGGGGTGGCACCCTGCCTCCTTCACCCATTCCTCTGATGATCCCAAAGGACAGCCAGGCTTGGGACCCCCTGATTTGGTAAACCCCTTCATTTTACAGACAGGTAAACTGAGGACCAGAGAAGCCAAGCCCCTTTTCTGAGGGCTCAGCATGGGGGGGGCCTGGCTGCACTCCCAGCGCTGTGTTCCTTCCAGACTCCCCCAGCAGGTTGTGTGGGGGTTGGGGGGGGGGCGACACTCTGGTGGGAGGGCAGCTGCCCGCTCACTTGGCAATGGTGTCCACGCCCAGCTTCACCCTGTCCCGGTCTCTGTTGAACGTGTGGATCTTCATGATGGAGGCAGCCACAGGGTCGGTGGAGAAGTGCTGGGAGGAGGGAGGGAAATGCATCAGCCACCCCCTCCCTCCCCCCAGCAGCCCAGTCTCACTACTCAGGTGACATCGGTGATAACAGTCCCCTGGCAGGCCAGGAGCGTTGCCCTGAAACACACTCAACTGTGCGTTCTCAGCAAAGGAAAAGAAGGAGAGAGCCCTTCAGTGGCTTGGGCCTCATCCTGCCCTCACCTCTAGGCAAGAGGGGGCATCACACACCAGACGATGCCCAGTTTCCCAGTTTAGTTGCCAGGGTGGGACAGAGAGGGGGACACAGACATGGCCCAGCAGAGAAAGCAGTGTGCAGAGGAGAGGCGCACACACAGCCAGAGGGGGCGTGTTCTCAGGACGCGGCCAGGCCAGGCCAGGCCTGAGTGCCCTGCCAGCCTCCTCGGGAACCACCACAGCCCCCCAAGGAAGAGCTGCTGCCCCAAAGGCTGCTCTTAAGTGTTTCCAGGAGACCCTTGGCCACGTTTTAATCAGGACCAGGGCCCGAGAGCAGGCAAGGGACAAAGGAGCAGAACGTCCAGAAAGGACCCAAATCCATACAGGAATGTGCTTTGTTACAAAGGCAGACTTCACAGCTATGACCAAGAAGCAGGTGTTTTCAATAAAAGGGGGTGTTGGGGGAGGAGAAGGTGGGTAGCTATCAGGGAAAAAATACCACTGGCTTCATGCCTCATGCTCTACAGGGTGAGAGCTTCTAGTCGGGTCGAGGTGGTTTTTATGGATCAGAGTTTTAAACGTTAAATTACAAAACGCAAAACAGAAAAGCACTAAAAAAACCATGGAAAAATCATTTTAATTCCAAAGTGAGGAAGGCCTTTCTAAGTGTGCCACAAAACCCAGAAGCCATAGGATCAACACATTTAATCATAAAGATCAAAAACCTCTACGTGGCAAAGCGACCATGAGCACAAACCAAAAGTAAAAAACTAGGGGAAAGTATTCACAATTCACATTACAGGCAAAGGACCGATTTCCCTAATATGCAAACAGTGCCTACAAATCAACTTCAGAAAAAGTCCAGGGGCACCCGGGGGGCTCAGTCGGTTAAGCGTCCAATTCTTGGTCTCAGTTCAGGTCTTGATGTCAGGGTTGTGGGATCGCCCGCACTGGGCTCTACGCCGGGCATGGAGCCTCTTTTTTTTTTTTAAGAGAGAGAGGGCGCACACAGAGGGAGAGGGAGCAGCAGACTCTCCGCTGAGCAGGGAGCCTGACGTGGGACTCCATCCCAGGACCCCGGGATCATCGATCTGAGCCGAAGGCAGATGCTTAACCGACTGAGCCACCCAGGTGCCCCGGGCATGGAGCCTCCCTAAAACACACACACACATACATACACACACACACATACATAAGTAGCCCCACCCCCCAACAGAAAAATGAACAAAGGATGCATTCTCATAGGAAAACACGGCCAATCTGAACCCAAATGAAGGAAATGCACGATAAAACTATCTCGAGATATTTCCACCTATCAATTCGGGGGAAGACGAAGAGTTTGCACACCCACAGGGACGGTGTGGGCACCGTGATGCGGTGGCGCGCGAACCCCTGGAGGTGGAGCAGCTGCCGCTCTGCCCACGCCGCACACACGCGTCCACCCAGCGCTCCCCCCTCCTCGGGGCACTACCGCTCTCGCCTCCCCCCCCCCCCCCCCGGGCCCCCCCCCCCCCCCCCCCCCCCCCCCCCCGGGACTGAGCCCAGAGCTCCCACCTGCCCCAGGACTGAGCCCAGCGCTCCCCCCCGCCCTCCCCCCGGGACTGAGCCCAGCGCTCAAAGCAACGTGCAGCCCAGGCTCTGTGACACGTCCCCGTTCCCACCAGTAAAAGACGCACTCCCAGCACGCTCCTCAGCAAGGAGCTGGCTAAACGGCTAGGGGACTTATGGTGAAATTGTTAACAACGCAGAACTTTCTCTCAGATGGTTCAGAAAAAACTAGAAAGGGGTGAGGGAGCAGACGGGGAATAACGTTAACACCTGGGAACTCGGGGTAAGGCGCAACAGATGCCCTCGTGCTCACCCCTGGTCTTGCGAATACGTTCAGTTAACAGGGGAGGGGAGCAGCAAGGAGGCAGATGAGAGTTAAGGCTGCTCATCAGCAGGCCTTAAAATAGGGAGATTAGCCTGGATTATCCTGGTGGGTGAGGCGTAATGTCGAGGTCCCTTCAAGGGGAAGAGAGGAGAGAGGCGGCCTGAGAAAGGCCGGGGCCTGGTGCGCGGGCTGTGGGGAGGGACAGAGACACCGGGGACAGCCTGGAAGCCGGACAAGGCCGGGCCGCATTCTCCCCTGGAGTGTCCAGAAGGAAGTCCGGCCCGCTGCCTCCTTGATTTCAGCCCAGTCGGACCGGAGGCACGCTCCTAGCTTCCAGAAGCGGGAAGGAATGGTGGGGGCTGGGGGGCGGGCAACAGCCTGGTGGGAGGGCAGCTGCCGTCTGAAGCCGTTTGAAGCCACCAGCTTCGTCAGAGTTCGTTACACCGGGGACAGGAAGCTCGGACCCTGGGTTCGGGGGCTCCACAGCTGTACCTATTTGGAACCTCTCTCTGGAAAGGGCCCGAAACCACTTAGAGTGGACGCCTCCAGGAAGGGTGGCTTTTCTCCACCCATCCTGGTGCATTTGAATTTCGTTCCCCACAAACACACTGCCTCTTCCGAAAGACGAAAGCAGACGCCGTCCACACAGGCCGAGGTGTCACCGAGGACCCATGCCGCCCAGCTCTCTGGAGCAGCTCTGGCCTCAGGACCCAGGGGGCGGGGGGACGGGACACGGGGCTGCCACTCACCGAAAGAATGGCCTCTTTGATGTGGGCGTCCCGCTGGTCCTTCCTGAGCGTGGCCCCGGTGAGCGGGCACGTGAAGCACACACTGGGCACTGCCAGATGGGCTGAGCCTTCCTCTTTGGCCTCCGGCACCTGCGGGGGTGGGGGTGGCTGAGCCCCCTGGTCCCGACGCCGCCCCCTCTGCTTGTTAGCGCTGGGACACCCTGGCCCCGCACCGGAGCGCCCCCCGGCCGCCTTCCGCTCTGTAAAACGGCTCTGCGGGGCCAGCTCACAACTAAACGACGGGAACAGAAAGTGTGTGGCGGCTTTGGACGCGGGGCTAACGCTCAGTGGCGCCTGCTGTTCCAGGGCCACCCAGGGTTCCCTGATCTCGTGAGGAGGAGGCCATGGTGGGCGCTAGATGAGTCCAGACCGCTCTCTGGACCTCCGTCCCTAGGCACCATCTAGAGCCTCTTCCATTCTAAAACGCAGTGAGACCTCGAGGGTCAGGCTGCTCAGAACACCATTTCTGCCAAGCTCTCCTTTAAAGCCCACCTCCCCCAGCAAGGCCTCCATGATGACACCAGTCTCCGGACAGCCCTCCCACCTCCCCAGAAAACAGCTGAGGGCAGGAGTTGAGTGTGAAGGTCACAGTCAACCCCACCTTCAACCACAACCTGCCTCCACTGTTCCAGGCGGGGTTCCCCTAAACTGCCTTTGTGCACAAGGCCAGACATGACCTCTATTCACCCTGACATCTCCTCTGTGTCCCCCACCCCAGCATCATGTGCTTCCAGCCCAGCGCTGGGCACCCGGCTGGTAATGAGAAAATGGCCAATTAGACCAATGCGGGCGAGAACCAGCTCCCTGCTCCAGGACGCCCCTCGGGTGTCCCACTGCCACGCAGATGTCGTTACCGTGTTGGTCCCTGGGGCCTCTGTGCTTGCGCTGACAGTCGCTTCAGCTCGAAGTTCCTTTCTCACTGGAGACAGGGCAGAGATGGGCGGGTTGTAGGCCCTGCTCTGTCCCCAGGAGCACACCCCCGAGACCGGAGTGGGTCAAGTTCGAGTCCTTCCCCCGCTCAGGCCCCCCTGCCTGAGCCACCTCCCCCCTGCCCCTAGGCTTCCCCTGATGGCCTGATGACCCCTGTCTCGGCTCCCTTCTCCCCTCCTCAGCCTTCCAGACCCCAGCACCCTTGCACCTTTCCACCCTGCACTCCCCTCCACCCCAACGACGTGAGACTTTAAAGCCCCCAAAGTTGCTGGTCACGTAACTATTTCTATCCAGGGCCAAGCACAGGCCTCGCTCACCCTGGTTCCGGATGGACTCCTGCGACGTGGGGCCCCGGGCCCTTGGCTGCTTTTGTTCAAGCCGGGCCAGGGCTGCTGCGGCCGCCATCTGGGCCTCATCAGTGGGTCCCTGGCGGGGTTGCCGCAGTGCTGGCTGGTTGGGTTTTTCTTTGGGGGCCCTCTCCCTGGGGAGAAGCAGAGGAAAAGTGAGGTGACACGGGGTCAGACAGAAGAGCCTCTGTCCCTCTCCCACTTCTGCCCCATCAGACAGACCCGTCCCTCTTTCCCAGGGGCCACCTGCAGCCACTAGATGGTTCTAACACAGAAGAGCCCCTGGGGGCAGATGGCCAGTCTGCTCCCAGCTCTGCCCCCGGGGGCAAGTCCTGCATGGGCCTGGGCCTCAGGGTCATGGCGGCTAAATGGGGGTAATGGCAGGCCCGCCAGAGCACAGCAGTGAGAAGGCACCCATCGCCTTCAGGAACCGAGCAGACTTGAAGGTGTCACTCCTCTCCTCCGTGCCTCCCCTGAGCAAGATCAACCCTGCCAATCTACGGCAGCCAGGCCCCGAAGCTTCCTTCAGGGAGCACCTACAGTTTGCCCGGCAGTATGCCAGGTCACACCGCAGGTGCTGGGTTTGCGCTCGCCTCCACCTGGGGAAACGAGCACGGGATGCGTGCTCCCGGATCTACACGGCACAGAAGTGACCTGGCCTTCCCCTGCAGAGAAGTCCTTCCTCACACCCTGCTCTGATTCACTTGCCTTGCCTCCTTCCCTCAAGACCGTCTCCCGACCCCAGGACTTTCTGAGCAGCCAAGGCTCTGGGTTCGCGGCCTCACTCCTCCTGCTCTGCTCAGATACACAGGTTTTTCGTGGCCCAAGGCCTCTGGGACCTGCTTCCTGCCCATCCCTGCCCCTATGCCCACAGCCGACAACCTCACGTTGAAGAAAAGATGGATCACGTAGCCCCACCCTAGCCCCATGTGACATTTAGTTCTATAAAAACACCTGTTTTCAAGACACCTTACTCTTGAAGGCTCCACTGGGCAGCCACAGGGATCCTTCTAAAACCTAAGCCAAAGTTTGTCCCTCTTACACCAAGCCCTTCCACCACACACACAACACAGTCCTAAAGCCTCCCCGGCCTGTAGGCCCTTCACACCTCTCAATCTACACTGCCTTCCTGCTGTTGTTCCCACAGGCCCAACTGGCTCCTACCGCAGGGCCTTTGCGCTTTCTGCACTTTCTGCCCAGAACGTTCTGTCTGCATGTGGGATGAGGAAAGGTCTGGGAGTGGTTGGGCTGCTTCAGAGTGAGTGAGTAAGTGAGTGAGTGTGTGTGAAGATTGAATTTCACATGGCTGAACTTCACCTCCTCCGGCTCTCAGCTCAAATGTCTCCTTCCCACTGAGGGGTTCCGGGATGCCCTAACAGTCCCCCAAATCACTTGCTATCTCCTGACCCAGCGTATTTTTCTTCACGGGCCCGAGTACCACCTGATCTCTCACCACACGTGTGCTGGTTTATCTGTCCATATCTCCCCAACGGACGCGGAGCCCCGAGACAGCAGAGACCTTCTCTTACCCATGACAACATTTGTCACACACCCTGAACCCCCAGTCTTGCCCCAAGCATGTCACAGAAGCCTGGATCTTCACGCGACTTCCCTCTTTTCTCCTCCCAGGCCTCGTCTGACACAGCCGTCACCCACACAGCCCCCACCTCCTTCCTGTCACGCTCAGTCCCAGCTGCACCAGCCCCCACCTCTGCCTGCTACTTGTCGAACAAATGAATGGACCCCCTTGTCTGGTCCACCCCTTCTCCCTGGCCCTCTCTTAAGCTGCCCTCCTCTCTCAGGTTCCCAGGACCTGATTCGGTCTACTGGGCTTCCCTCCCTGACTCAGGAACTTGGCCCTAGTGGGCCTCCTTTGTCCCACTCCCAGGAACCCCCAATCCCCATGACAGATGCCCTGATGTCATGTACCCACTCTCCCTCACCCACCCCCGCTGCCTCATGATTCCCTTCCTGCCGCCTCCCTGCCTACCCCTCACTGCCCACCTCTTCACAAACCCTTCCATTATTCCCCACGGATGCCACCCAGGACTGACATCTTTCTTCAGCCACTCCCCTTCCTAGACCCCACCCAGACCCCAAAGCCCCTGCCCCCTCTGCACTTCCTTTGCTCTTCCCAGCCCACCAGAGCCCTCCATCTCCCGTCCTCCCCTGCTCCAGCTCTTCACACTCCTCCCCACTGAGCCTCCAGACTTGCCCCTGGCCTTTCTCTTCTCCAAGTCCTCCCCAGATGATCCACAGTGGCCTGGATGTGCACTCCACTGGCCTTCCGTCTTCTACCCTCTCCTCCCGGGTCGCCCTCAGGACCTCCCTTCTGACTCAACCTTCGCCCACAAGGTCCCCATCTCCTCCCTGTCACAGATGCCTCCAGCTCCCCACCTCCACCACCACCCTGCCTCCATTTCCCTCCCAGACCTTCCTAAGCCGCTCCGACACCTGCGCCCCCAATTCACCGAGACCTGTCCTGACACCGCGTCAGTCTCCCTGGCCTTAACCTCACTTACCCCGTCCTCCCTCACGCTCCAGAACCAGGGCCCAGACCCCCACCGCCATGGATGCTAAGCCTCCCCACTCTTTACGACCCCAGCTGTACTTGCTTCTTCCGGCTTTGTGTGCAATCTCTGAACACCTAGATTCCTCCAAATCTAGGCGACGCCCCTTCGGGCCCCTTTCCAGTCCACATGTTCCCCTACGGTTTCTCCACTGACCCGCACCTCTCTGC